CACTTCAAATGCAGTATGTCAATGGCAAGAGCAAGGGAAAATGTATTATTATAGCCATCCTCTAAATGTCACGTTGTGCAAGACCCCACATATCCCTAGATCAGCTTCCTATTCTTAGCAGTGGCTTCTGCTGCACAGTGGTCCTGATGCAGAGCAGCAGGGTAACAACAGCAGGCTTGGACCCATCCTATTGCACCGGCAGATGACCTGTATCCCAGGTGTGTCCCTCCCCTTGATGGAAGACACTCTGATCCAGAAAGGGAAAGAGGAATATATTTTTTGTGTTATTCCCCCTTCCCTCCACAGCCCTTGCCTCCCTATGCCTCCCAATCTGCTGAAGATGGTTGAGGATCCCCTTAGAACAGTGTGGGAGGTAGTGCAAGGGGATGTCGGAGAAAGGGTGAATTAAATAAAAAACAAAAAAATAAAAAACACCTCCTCTCCCCCTCTGCTCAAGCAGGATCAAAAAACCCTTCCATCAGCACAGGTACACAATAGGGTACGACCCCTTGTTTATAAGTTTGGGTGACATGGGGTAAGACTTGGGAGTCCAGGTGCGTTGCCAGGTTGCCAAAACATGTGTTCTCCGCTGCACATCTTGGCCTCAGTGCACGTCAAGCACAACAGATCCACCTGCAAAAACCTCCGAGGTTGGATTGCCTTTGTGAGGTCGGCCGCTCTTGTGAGCCAGCCGGTGGGGGGGGGGAGCCTATCAAAAGTTCCTTTGACATTCAGGAATACAAAATGTGCTTGTGTCAAGTTAGCCCTTCCTAACTTACATTAAAAAAAGGAAGATGATCACCCTGGCAGCTTTTGCCAACTTGTTGCCCCCTTCGGACTACAACTCCCATCAGCCGTACTGGCAGGGGCTGATGGAAGTTGTAGTCCAAAGCATCTGGATGCAAACAGGCTTGGCGAAGGCTCTGGGATCGCTTCTCTTCCATTCAGAAAAAAGGGGAGAGGATTCAAGCTGACGGAAGAATAGAACTCTTCCCGCTGGAAGTTGTGCGTTTCCACCTGGCAGCCTTGAAAACACAAGTCAGCAAATGAAAAGACATTGTCTTCCCCCAACCCCACCCCACCCGGTTAAAACCACAAAACCCTCTTCTGTCACCCCAGCGGATCAAGCAGTAGGCTTCCTTTTCAAAGGCACTGTATTTATTTCTTTGAAACTCGTTTTACAAGCAGGGTGAAGGAGAAAAAGGAGGCTTTGGGGGGAGGAGAGAAATGCAGAACAGGACCCCTCAAAGTCTACAAGTTGTTTCTCATCTCAAGAGCCAGTTCAAACAAAAACTTGGCATGAGCCAAATCAGGCCGCCCCCCAAGCCCATCTGCTTGCGTAACTATAACGCAAACAGCTGCGAGCGTGTGGGTCTTGGCTGCCCCAGATCTCACGAACTCAGGGTATGCATGCTCCCTGCCTACAAGATGGGTAGAAGTTTCCGTGACCAAGTTTTATGGACTCCTGGTTTCAAAGTTACAGCTACACCCTGAAAGCACACACGTGGGCCAGATCAACACCGCAAATCTAAACTGTTTCCAACTGTCATTGCTCCCAGCCAAGAAATCATTAAATGTGCGCAAGCTGGTTTTCTGGAGAAGACCGAAAAACCCGCCGCACGTAACCATCTGTCTTTCGACCAGTGGAGGTGAACCTGCTGGTCTGTAACTCCCATCATCCTTCACTGAAGGCCATGCTGGCTGGGGTTCATGGGAGTCAGGAGTCATACAACAGGTCAATGCAGGCTGTTCGCCACCCCTGCTCTTGACCATGGCTAGCCAGATGTCCCTGGGCGGTTCACATTCTGGGTGTGAAAATGCTCTACTCGTTCTTCCCCAGTATACTACCTCCGAATATGGAGGGCTCCACTTCTGTCTTCGATGACTTCAAGCCCTGAGAACTGTAGGCCAGTAAATGGCCAATAGCTATCTCTAATGACACATCCACACAGAGGGGTGTATTCAGCTAAGTCCTGCTCAGAGAAAACCCAATGAAACCAAGTGAAGTCCTGTCCATTAACTTCATTCAATGTGTCTGCTCTGAGCAGGGCTAGCATCAGATAAAACCTCATGCCATTAAAGCGCATGACATCCCCTCAAAAACCCTACAAATGATAGGTGTAAGAGTCAAAGGTAAAGGACCCCTGGACGGTTAAGTCCAGTCAAAGGCGACTATGGGGTTGTGGCGCTCACCTCGCTTTCAGGCCGAGGGAGCCGGCGTTTGTCCATGGACAGCTTTTCAGGTCATGTGGCCAGCATGGCTAAACCGCTTCCAGTGCAACGGGACACCATGATGGAAACCAGAGCACACAGAAACATAGTTTACCTTCCTGCTGCAGTGGCACCTATTTATCTACTTGCACTGGTGTGCTTTTGAACTGCTAGGTTGGCAGGAGCTAGGACTGAGCAACAGGAGCTCAGCCTGTGGCAGGGATCCTAAGCACCAACCTTCTGATCAGCAAGCCCAAGAGGCTCCGCAACGCCATAGTTGCCTTTGACTGGACTTAACCATCCAGGGGTCCTTTACCTTTTTTTACCTGATAGGTGCTATGATTCCCAGCACACTCAAGAAAACTGCAGTTTCCAGGATTCTTGGGGTGGGACAGGGAGCTGTGTGCTTTAAACGTGTGTGAAATAGGTGGTGTGAATGTGTCCTAAGAAAATGCACTCTCCGTAACCCCCCGCCCCCAAAAAAATCCCAGGTCTGTTGGCGGGACGGCTGAAGTGGTTGGAAACAGGCAGAGACGTCTGGCACAAAGGAACAGAACTGATACTGGCTGGGGGTGGGAGTGGAAGGAGCCATGGTTCAAAATGTCTGGAGAACTGACCAGGAGGAAGCCAGGTTAAGCACAAGGCACTATGTCCACTGTAACAGTGTCACTGGCGATGCCACACCTGTATGGGTTTTGGGGATGTGACGCCAGTAGTGGTTGGCCTCACCAGATGCAACATTAAAGGTAAAAAGGTAAAGGACCCCTGGACGGTTAAGTCCAGTCAAAGGCGACTATGGGATTGCAGCGCTCATCTTGCTTTCAGGCCGAGGGAGCCGGCGTTTGTCCACAGACAGCTTTTCGGATCATGTGGCCAGCAAGACTAAATCGCTTCTGGCGCAACAGGACACCGTGACAGAAACCAGAGCGCACAGAAACGCTGTCTATCTTCCTGCTGCAGTGGTACCTATTTATTTACTTGCACTGGTGTGCTTTCGAACTGCTAGGTTGGCAGGAGCTGGAGCAGAGCAACAGGAGCTCACTCCGTCGCGGGGATTCAAACCGCCAACCTTCCGATCGGCAAGCCCAAGCGGCTCAGTGGTTTAGACCACAGAGCCACCCACGACAGTTGCCACCTGCAACATTGCACTACTGTGGGCACAGAAACAGGCGGGAGAGGGGAATGTGCGGAACTTGCTGCTCCGAGGACATCCCAACCCACGTGTTGGGTTTGAAACGCAGACAGAAGAAGTGGCCCCAGTGACTAACAAAACAGCAAGACATCTTAGCAGGCCTTGCTTGTGGCCTTGCTTGTGATGCTCATGGTGCCATGCTAGCCTGGGTCCCTGTGTTTGAGAGAATTTGCATTGCATTTCACAGAACCTGTCCTTCCACCAATGGCCCAAGGCCCACCTTCAGACCCTGAACCTTGTGGGGCTAAGCTTCTGGTCCTCAGCCCTACCTCAGCTGCCCCTCTGTTCCTAGGTGCCATGTTTTGTCACATGGCTGCTTGCAAACCAGCAGTGGCTGTTGGCCTTTCGCATCATTAAAGGAAGGAGACTGGCGGCGTCAACCCTTCTGATGTGTGCAGCTGTCCAGACCTCTCCTTCAGGCTTTATAGCTGCATCTCGGCTCTGCAGGAGACCACAAGAGGTATAGATGAGGGAATATGAGGCTAAAGCTGTGTACACCCTACACCTTTAAAGCACGCTCGAAGCACATTATTTCCCTCAAGGAATTCTGGGGACTGTAGTTTGCCACTCAGAGTTACCGTATTTTTCGCCCCATAGGACGCACCGCCCTATAGGATGCACCTAGTTTTTTTTGGGGGGGGGGAAATAAAGAAAAAAAATTATTTCCCCCCAGGCATGGGGCTGGCGCGGGGGAAGCCCGAGCTTCCCCCGACCCCAGCCCCCAGAACAGCCTGCTATCCGCAAGCCTAGGGAGCGTCGCCGGTCTCCCTGGGCTTGCGGACAGCCCGAGGCTTCAGAATGCAGAGCTGCGCGGACCCCGGGAGGGCAGGCGGCTCTGCGCGACCCTCCGGAGGCCGGCGCGGCTTGGCGCAGGGCTCCGGAGGGTTGCGCAGAGCTTCCTGAAGCCTGGAAAGCGAGAGCCTCTCGCTCTCCTGGCTTCAGCGAAAGCCTGTATTCGCCCCATAGGACGCACCCACATTTCCCCTTCATTTTTGGAGGGGAAAAAGTGTGTCCTATAGAGCGAAAAATACGGTAGCTCCCAGCAACCCTTAACAAACTACAGTGCCCAGAATTCTTTGAGAGGGTGGGTGAATGTGCTTTGGATGTGCTTTCAAGAAGGTGAGAGGAATCTTTGGCCCTCCAGATGAACTCCTGTCGCCTCTGGCCATTGGCCACGCTTGCTGCGGCGGATGGGAGTTATGGTTCAGCGACACCCGGAGTGCCAAAGGTTCCACACATCTTTAAAGACATTGTGCTTGTGTAGTCGGGGGGGAGGGCTGAAAGGAAGCGTAGGTGGAGACAGCAAGGGTGCTGAAGGTGGAAAGCATCCTGCCTTCCTCAACTTGGCGCCCTCTAAATACTGTTGGACTACAACTCCCATCGTCCCTTTCCCTCAGCCTGTGCTGGTTAGGGCTCATGGGAGTTGAAGTCCAGAAACACTGGGAGGGAACCAGATTCCGTGACGGCGCATAAGTCAAAGGACGATGAAAGCATGAGAAAGCCACGTGTGCTTCTAAGACAGGAAGCCTGCTTGATTCAGAACTGTGCGTTTTTCTCTCTCGGGGACTGTGCATTAAATCTGACTACAAACAGAGGGCACAAATAAAAAATAGTTTTTTAACAGGAAGGGGCTGCCGCTTTAACACAGATGACATCATGCAGTTACAGGACTACTTTTTTTTTCTTTTTTAAAATAAAAAAGGGGGAGGACACGTTGGAATTTTTTTGTCTCTTTTTGCCTTTTTTTCTTCTTAAATTAAATCAGGTCGATTGATAGAAAATAAGTATGTATAATTTCCCTACCCACCACCCACCCCACCCCTCCACTGCCCTTATCTACACATAATGTACTTATTTATAAAACTCGAGATCCAGCCAAGAAGGAGAAGGAAGAAAAAGAAAAAGGTGTCCGGTCCCTTTAAGTCAAAGCCGACATGGTGGGGCCGCCATTTACCATTGCCTTGCGCCCCCTGCTGGCCAAGGGTTGCATCTGGTGGCAGTTCGAAGTGCCGTTGAGCATGGTCCCGGGCGCAGGGTTGGCGGGGATGCTCACCGTGGTGGTGTTGGAGCTGGGCGAGCCGTGGGAAGGGGTGGCAGGGCTTGGCAACGAAGAGGAAGTGGTTGCCGGCAAGGTGGCCGGGCTGTTGGCCTTGTCGCTGACGGACTCGCACTCTGATGCGCCGCTGGTGTTGGTGCATTCGGAGTTGGGGAGCTGGGAGGAGAGTTTTAGCCTCTTGCAGGCCGGCTGGACACGGTATTTCAGAGGGAGAGGGCCATTCTGCAGAGGGAGAGCGTAGACATAACATTTCATCTTCTTCACAGCTTAGCTGCAACCATTTTAAAAGGTAAAGGGACATCTGACCATTAGGTCCAGTCGTGACCGACTCTGGGGTTGTGGCGCTCATCTCGCTTTATTGCCCGAGGGAGCCAGCGTACAGCTTCTGGATCATGTGGCCAGCATGACTAAGCCGCTTCTGGCGAACCAGAGCAGCGCACGGAAACGCCGTTTACCTTCCCACCAGAGCGGTACCTATTTATCTACTTGCACTGGTGTGCTTTCGAACTGCTAGGTTGGCAGGGACTGAGCAATGGGAGCTCACCCCGTTGCAGGGATTCAAACTCCCGACCTTCTAATCGGAAAGTCCTAGGCTCTGTGGTTTAACCCTCTGTGGTTCCCACCTGCAACCATTTTATGCCCCTTTTAAACCCCCCTTTTTATATGCACCAAGACGGAAGGACACATCATTGGGAAAATGGCTGCTAAAAGTAATGGGGACTTAGCCAAGATGGCAAAACTGACATGTTTAACCAGAGAAAGGTCATTGTTAACATTTGTTAAATACTGGAAACCTTCTATGATTGGATTGAAGTCTTATACAAACTCGCAACATATGAACAACTTGCATATAAACACAGACTTGCCATGGACCAATTCAATGATATGTGGAATCCATTCTTGCAAATATTGTAATAGGTTAAGATCTGGTAAAGTATAATAACAACTTTGTAAAGCACGGAGTTTTGGGGGTTTTCCCCCTTCCCCTCATTATTTTTCCTTCTACATGGGTGCCATTTCTCTTTCTCTTTTTCTCTCTTTTATTTACGTCTCATCGTGTTCAGTGCACATATAATTATGCACTTTTTGAACTTGTTCAATAAAGATGTCTAAAAAATAAAAATAAAAGATTGGAAAATGAAATAATAGCATCTGGATTTGAGGACTGAAGATAATGTTTGATTATAGAAAGTGGCTTTGTCAAGTGTTAGATTGGATTGGACAAAGTGAATAGTGTTTTTATATAGCGGACAGATGAAGAATTGGACATTATTTCTTTTTTGCTTCTCTATTTCCTCTCTCCTCCTCTCCCTCCCCCATGCCTTTTCATGTTTTTATTGTATCTATATAAAAGTCTTGGTTGGTTAAAAAAGGGAAAAAGATATTAAGTTTTATTTTTTTCCTCTATAAACCTTAATAACATTTTTTTTAAAAAAAAGACTCCTTCCTTTCCTCTACTCTAACTTCTTCCTGCAGATATGAGGGCCTACGTAACATTTTCAATTCTTAAAGGTAAAGGTAAAGGGACCCCTGACCATTAAGTCCAGTTGTGACCGACTCTGGGGTTGCGGCGCTCATCTCGCTTTATTGGCTGAGGGAGCCGGCATGCAGCTTCCGGGTCATGTGGCCAGCATGACTAAGCCGCTTCTGGCGAACCAGAGCAGCACACGGAAACGCCGTTTACCTTCCCGCTGGAGCAGTACCTATTTATCTACTTGCACTTTGACGTGCTTTCGAACTGCTAGGTTGGCAGGAGCAGGGACCGAGCAACGGCAGCTCACCCCGTCGCAGGGATTCAAACCGCCGACCTTCTGATTGGCAAGTCCTAGGCTCTGTGGTTTAACCCACAGCGCCACCCGCGTCCTAAATCCCGAATGCTAATTTGGCATTTGTTTTCATTGTTGTTTTCAGATGTAACAAACAAGACGTACCCTTCCATCCCACTTGGTGGGTTCTGAATGGAAAATACACTTGCTCCTCATTCTCAAATGAGTTTTGTCTCAGACCTTGAGCCAACTTGGGTCACAACTCAAATTTCCTCTGCTTTTATTTGTCTCTTATGAATCTAAAGGAGGCTGCCTTACCATGAATGAGGCCGTTGGTGCATCTTGCTCAGTCTGTACCAGGGTTTTCCCCAGCTGGACTACAATGCCCATCATCCCTGACCACTGGTCCTGCTAGCTAAGGATGATGGGAGTTGTAGTCCAAAAACAGCTGGAGACCCACGTTTGGGTAACACTGGTCTATACGAAGGTACAGCGGCTCTCTGGGGTTTTGGACAAGAGTCTTTCACTGGAGATGCTGCTATGTCAGTGCTGACAACACTGAACTAAATGAACCAATGGTCTGACTCAGGACAAGACAGCTTCCTATGGCCATTTGTCATTTATGATCTAGTTGAGATTCCTGCATTGCAGGAAGTTGGGCTAGATCACCCTTAGGGGTCGCTTCTCTCTACGCACTCACCCGTCGCCAAGGATAGATATAAGTTATGTCCATTAGGGTATAGTATTCTTCAGAGGCTCATCTTCATAGAGAACTTCCACCTAACAGATTTAATGACACAATTAAAGAAATTCTGAATTACATGGCAGGCACAGATGAATAAGTACTGGGCACAGATTTAAGTCTCCTGAGCATCATTCTCTCTCTCTCTCTCTCTCTCTCTCTCTCTCTCTCACACACACACACACACACACACACACACACACACTTTTATTAGATTTTCTGTTTTGCAATTTAGAATACTGTACTCATTTTAACAATCTTAAAATATCAGTGACTTCCCTTCTCTTTCCATGGTTCATTTTGCATATCATAAATCCCTGCATATTTTACAAAAACTATTGCCAATCAGTACAGTGGTACCTCGGGTTAAGTACTTAATTCGTTCCGGAGGTCCGTTCTTAACCTGAAACTGTTCTTAACCTGAAGCACCACTTTAGCTAATGGGGCCTCCTGCTGCTGCAGCGCTGCTAGAGCACGATTTCTGTTCTCATCCTGAAGCAAAGTTTTTAACCCGAGGTAATATTTCTGCGTTAGCAGATTCTTTAACCTGAAGCGTATGTAACCTGAAGCGTATGTAACCTGAGGTACTACTGTATTCCATTCTTACATCAATCAAAACTTATTTACGCTGTTGAATTTATCTTAATAATGCCATTCTTCTTTAAACATATGTTCTTCTTGTTCTCTTATTCTACGTATTAGGTCTGCAAGCTGCACATATTCCATCAGTTTAAGTTGCCATTCTTCTTTAGTTGGGACCTTGCTCGTTTTCCATTTGGGGGCTAACAAAACATGGGCCGCAGGAGTGGCATACATAAATAACCTTTTTTGACACCTGGGAATTTCTGTCTGAATTATCCCCAACAAAAAGGACTCTGTTTTTTTTTCTTCTTTTTTCTTTTTTGAAAAGTACTTTCAAACATTTTTTTAATTTCATTATAGATTATATACTCTTTTATATACTCTTTTACCCTTTTACATGTCCAAAGTCTCCTGAACATCTTCATCTTTGTTGCTGTTTTTTAAAGAAGTAATTTTCTAGCCCTTAAGCAGTAAAGAAAGGTTTGAAAGCATATGTCCCTTCCCCTAACTAGAAGTAAAATAAATTACGCAGAGCAAGCAAACAGAGACATGTTTTCTCAATCTGCACAGTTCATTTGGAACAGAATTTGGCAAACCTCTGTTGCTAAAAAAAACCCTATATAAGCCTTCAGAGTGAAGCCAGTTCTTCGGCAGGGAGAAAGCATGCACACTTAAAACGCTGTTTGCACATTTTGCTGTTTGCTTATTTTATAATGAGTGTGGAACTGGAGCTTCCTTGATGTGCAAATAGTTTTGAACGTGCAGCCTCAACCTTGGCTAGGGGAAAGTGTGACAGCATTTGATAGCAACTCACTTTGTATTTGCTGGGAACATCCATCTTGTTGCGGAGGAACTTAGCCAGGTGCATGATCGTCATAGCGGCAGGGCAGCGAAGGAATCTCATGCTGTTCTTCTAGGGAGGAATATGAGAGAGAAAGCGAGGGAGGGAGGAGAGGGAGAGAGAGAAAGTGAGAGAAAAGGTTTTATTGGGAGAGGGCTGGGTAGCTGGAGCAGGCAGAGTCATTGAAATATGTATTGAAGCAGCTGTAAATCTGCCAAAAGCCAAGGATACCAGGGAAGAGGGCAGGGGGAGGAGTCCGGGAAGGGTCAGAGGTCACAGGCAAAGGACACCCTTGCAATCTATATACCGTTGGAGGGGGGAGGGAAAGCACAACATCTGTGGGGGGAGGGAAGGAGGGAGAATCCGAAATTTAAAAGGAAAGGAGAAAGTTGGAGTATATCCTAGCACAGCCACAGAAACAGGGAAAGGGACACAGCAAAGATGAAAGCAGGAAGGAGAGAAAGATGGACTAAATAGAAAAGAAAAATTGAAAGCCAAATTGAGGGGAAAGGTTGGAGGCGGGAAGCAAGACGGGGCAGTGTAGGGGGCTTTTGAAGCCTTGAGCGCTAACTTGATTCATCACGATTTACGCCCAGAGCACATAAAAATCCCAATTAAGATTGGGGTGCCTTGTGATTGTTTCCTAAATATGAAATATGAATGGAAAGGGCCTCCCAGTTGGAGGACGACCACCTTGAGCCCCTGCACCTCTCACTTTAGAGATCCCAGCTCAGAGGACATGGGTTCCAGGCAGCCCCTGAACCTCTTATTTTATGAATTCAATAATTTGAGGGCATGCAGGGGACATGGGATTCTCCCACATTTCTAAAGCATTATTCAAGGGCAGAAGCTACATAGCTCACCTTGTCTTTCTCTGTGTTCCCATTCTCAACGGTCCCTTTGTTTTCTTCTCTGAGAGAGAGAGAGAAATAGGGGGAATTAATGAAACACACATATACACAAGAGCACGGACCAGATTATCCAGTCCTCTGTGGGTCCAGAACTTTGGTTATTTCTGCACACTTCAACCATGCGTGGAAGATCACAATCAAAAGCAAGGTCCCAGAAGCAGCCAGTAAGGTGGGGCAGAGCCCTCCTCCTGTCAGCAGTCTTGCTGCAACTTACCTGAGCTCCAGACTGGCTTTGCTGTTGCACCCGCACAGCCCCAACCTCACCCACTGCTTCTGCAGTGCTGTGGTCAGGTGAGCAGCTTGGCAGCGCAACTTGAGCACACCTGTGTGGCACCGCTCCAGATATGGTTGGATTAGGATTCTTTCCCAGCAACAATCATTTCCAGCCTGCTTTGGAATTTGCACTGGTAGGATTTTTTTAAAAAATGTTGCTTCACACTAAACTAGAACTCAGAAAGAGCAAGACTTCTTATCCTTCGGCTAATATTTGAAGAGTGCAGGTTGTGGGGAGGGGGAATGGACACACTAGTACCAGCCACGTTTTTAAAAAATCTTGGGAGTTCTCCAGTGATTTCTAGGGGTACCTTTGACTTCTTTCTCCAGGAATATTTTACAATAACTTCTCAGAACGAAACAGAAAAGGACCTCTCCAGACAACAAGATGGTTACTTCTGTTTTATCTCTGTGTCTCTCTTCCTCCCTCTGTCCCCTTTCCCGCTCTGCTGTCAGTTCCCACCCCCATTCAACCAACATTCTGTACCACTGAGCCTTTAGAAAGTGTTTGAGCTCCTTAGGTCTTCTGTACTATGTATTCTCTATTTTGTTTTTCTTTTGCTTTCACAGTGCTCTTTTTATTATTATTCTGTGATAGGTATTGTTCTGTACAATCGTACCTTGGAAGCCGAACACCTTGGCTCCCGAACAAATCAGCTACCAAGCTATCGAAACCCAGAAATGGGTTTTCAGGTTTTCAAACAATTTTTAGAACCTAAACATCTCCTGCAGCCAATTAGAAGCCGCACTTTGGTTTTCAAACAGTTCTGGGAGTCAAAGGGACTCCCGGAACGCATTCTGTTCAAAAACCAAGGTACCACTGTATTGTGGTTTTAGCCTTCATTGTAAACTGTCCAAAGAACAACGCTGACTGAGCAATACATAAGTGTAGGATGGAAGGGAATAAATTAATTAATTTGCAGCACATGTTCCCTAAGCCTAACCTCACCCAACAAGAGCTTTAAGCCACAAGGGCGATTCCATCTCCTGGTGGGTGTGGGGCAAATCAGATGCACACCACTATTGTGATGTGTGTTTGCACTTGATCTCTGTTGTGTAGCCTATTAAAATCATGTTTTCATCAGCAATATTGTTCAACAGTAGTATAGTGCAGATAGACTGTGTCTACCCTGGGAGATTATAATACGTACATGCACACACACGATTCCTATACTGTCTTTCAATAATAAAGTTTCCTCCTCTTAGTCCTGGCCACATCCTTCTTATTGTAAGATAGAACAAGCAAACAAAGAAGCAAACAAAAAGCAATATCGCATTATGAAAACTTTGATTGTTCCCTGCACAGGCCTAGACTTGTTTATTATTAAATCATATATATCCATCACATTTTCAGTAAGAATGCTCCTGGTGACATATACAATGCCAAAACATAATGTTACACCACAAATACAATTAATATACAGTTGTACCTTGGTTGTTGAACGCCTTGCAACTCCAACGTTTTGGCTCCTGAACACCGCAAACCCAGAAGTGAGTGTTCCGGTTTGTGAACTTTTTTTGGAAGCCGAATGTCCGCCGTGGCTTCCGTGACTTCCGATTGAGTGCAGGAAGCTCCTGCAGCCAATCAGAAGCCGCATCTTGGTTTTCGAATGTTTTCGGAAGTCGAACGGACTTCTGGAACGGAATTCGTTCGACAACCAAGATACGACTGTGCATAAGTGTGAGAGTGTAATACATACATTCTTTCAAAACATTTACCAAGCATAAATATATAAAATTTGTTAAAATATATGTGTAGTAAAAAAACCAACCCAGGGCAAATTAATAAAATTAAGTGAAATTATTCCCCTCATATTTTTTCCTGTATTACCTGATTCCTTCATAGAACTCTATGGATAAGCTGACAATTTCATCGTCTGTCAGGTTCCCTTTCTCCTGTTCCGAAACTTCTCCCCGGTCTTCATTAGATCCATTAGGAACTAGACAAGCAAGCAATTGAGAGGAAAGGAAGAGACAGAGAAAAAATAAAGATCACACCTTTTTTGTGGGGTGTTTTTTTTAATGCATCACTGTTGACATGTAGGAGGGAAATTCATGAGAGACGCCATACCATCTGCCAGAGGGTATGCTGCGTAGAAATCACGTCGCCTCTTCATTTCATCTGCAGGCAAAAGCAAACAGTTAATTCATTTATTAGCATTTCTATCTTTCACTTATTCTGCAGGTGGGGCTACACATCACAGTGAATAAATAAATGAATTCATGTTTAGCAACACGCTACCATATAATTATTCATACATTTTAAATCACTGACTGAACGGAAAACAAACAAAAGAACTAGAATTAAATTTGCATTAGGACCAAAAGCACAACAGCCATAGTTTCGAATACTATCTGTATTACTTAATGAGGTAATATTATAGTTGAATATTTGGCCCTACTCTGCTCAGTTATTTATATACTGTTCATCAGCCCTATATAATAATCAGATGGCTTCTTTTTCTAACTGCATCAAAGTCAACAGAAGAAACTTCTTAAAAACAAAACAGAAAAACAGCCACAAAATCTGAACATGTTCACACCTTTGAAAAGTCCTGGTACCAGCTTGTAGACTATGTCCTGTAGGGTTTTATCTGATCTGAAACATGAGGAGAAAAAGATGGGTTAGCAAAGGTCAATTGCAAGGGGGAAAGTGGGGGAGAATATTAAAATCCCAATTCAAATTCATTTTTGCTGTTGATAATAACAGAAACGGGACGCGGGTGGCGCTGTGGGTAAAACCTCAGTGCCTAGGGCTTGCCGATGGCATGGTCGGCGGTTCGAATCCCCGCGGCGGGGTGAGCTCCCGTCTTTCGGTCCCAGCTCTTGCCCACCTAGCAATTCGAAAGCACTCTTAAGTGCAAGTAGATAAATAGGTACCGCTTTCTTGCGGGAAGGTAAACGGCGTTTCCGTGTGCTGCGCTGGTGCCGGCTCGCCAGAGCAGCTTCGTCACGCTGGCCACGTGACCCGGAAGTGTCTCCGGACAGCGCTGGCCCCCGGCCTCTTAAGTGAGATGGGCGCACAACCCTAGAGTCGGACACGACTGGCCCGTACGGGCAGGGGTACCTTTACCTTACCTTTAATAACAGAAACACAGAGCAAGCCTCTCTTGCCCCAGTCCCACTGTATGGGCTTATTAAAACGAATAGCTACTCTAGTGCAATCCCTTCTGCAAACTGAACAGGAGGCATTGCAGCAAAGGCAGGAAGAAGAGGCTTAACATTTCAAAACACAGCACTCACTATCTCTGTTGCTTAATCGGACTTTGGGTGTTCCAACACTTGCTACAAAACCTTTTTTTCTTAGTGCCAAGACAACAGAAGTGTGCCTAACTTTAGAAGATAAGCCTTTAGCTCCAGCATCTCTCATGCAGCCAATTCAGGACCAAATTCAGAACTGAATATTTCAGAGGATCAGTTCAGTTGGTTAAGAGAGTGGCTATCAACAAAAGCTATTTTAAGCTACAGGTTTCCCAGTCCTGACCTACACTTGAGCCAAAGTTTTTTTTCTTCGTGGTAATGGAACTTACAGCCCAGCCCACACCCCGTACCAGCCAGTCAGGAAGATTCATAGTTCACCCTTTCCTGCCGTGAGAAAACAATTATGCAAAATAAGCACATAATGAAAACTTGTTGTAAGTCACATAATGGGCAGGGGTGCCGGAGTTCAGGTGTTCTTGGCACCAAGTTTTGATTTCATTTAATGCACAGTTCCAGTGTAGCAATACTATTAACTGCTGCTTTGATCTATTGATGAAACATATAAATGTGTCAAAACCCCTCTGAATTTGGATTTACTGGGGGTAAGGGAGGCAACACACAATTATTTCTGTGTTGAACAGCATGCAGAGTTTGATTTAAAAGGCTGTGTGTGTGTGTGTGTGTGTGTGTGTGTACACACACACACACACACACCAGGCAGTGTTTGTTTTAATTTACAGCGTCACAATCTTCACACTGTTGGGCTGTCCTGAGCGCCCCCCCCCAATCCAATTTGGTAATGTTATTTATTACACATGCATATTGACTTTGTTTTGTGATTTATGGCAAGCTAATGAAAACAAGCTTTGTCCAGGGGCTGCGTGACTGGCAGCTAGGTTACAAGGAAAGCCATTATATTTGCTCGAGTCAATAAGACACTTAAGACATCCAGGACACCCTATTATTCCTGAGCTGCTATAAAGTGTGACGAGTCATGTCTCCGCAACAGAGCCCTGAAGCCACCTGTTGCAACCAAGGGGCCTGGTAAAATAAAATATAAAGAGCCTCCCCCCCCCAAAAAAATGCAATCATTCTAAGAAATCATTGGTGGGAAGGGAAGAGCAACCATGAACCACTGAGCCAATGCACTTTGCCATACTGCTGCCTATACAGCTCCTGCAAACCCACCCCATTCTTCCAATCCATAATAATAATAATAATAATAATAATAATAATAATAATAATAATACCCTGCCCATCTGGCTGGGTTTCCCCAGCCACTCTGGGTGGCTTCCAGCAAAATATTAAAATACAATAATTCATCAAATATTAAAAGCTTCCCTAAAGAGGGCTGCCTTCAGATGTCTTCTAAAAGTCATATAGTTGTTTATTTCCTTGACATCTGATGGGAGGTCGTTCCACAGGATGGGTGCCACTACCGAGAAGGCCCTCTGCCTGGTTCCCTGTAACCTTACTTCTCACAGGGAGGGAACCGCCAGAAGGCCCTCGGAGCTGGACCTCAGTGTCTGGGCTGAGCGATGGGGGTGGAGACACTCCTTCAGGTATACTGGGCCGAGGCTGCTCTGCCCCTAGCAGAACATCAAAGCAACCCATCAAAGCATACCTGCTTCACAGATCAGTGCCTTATCAGTTTCCTTGTGAAATAAAGTAAAATACTGCCGTGTACTCCAGCACTGAGGCATACGCCTGGCTTTTTAAACATCCTCCCTAAAAATCATAAAACTGCTTGGAGATTGGGGAAATTCAGGGAAGCTGGAGAGGAAATCACAACTAATATACCCAGTACACCTGCTCTCAGTGGCACATTTGAAATCAATCAAGAGGCTGCGGTCTCGCCATGGGGTCGCTAAACCCCAGTGACATTTCGCTGCACTTTTAACCTGGCGCGTTTTCTCCCCTCTCGCATGCCTCTTTGCACTGGCAGCTCGCATCTGCCGGGTGGATGGGTGGGCGCATGCATGCGTCTGGGAGCGCGGATGTTCGTGGGCCTAAGAGGAGAGGCTGGTGGGAGCTCGGCTTGTAAATATTTTGCAGAACGCCTGAAGTGTTACTAGAGAAATTAATTTGCACAGAGCAGGAGCTAAAAATACAACCGGAGAGATGCATCTGTGAGAAGTCGCCTTCTTGGTTTCTATGCCAACCATCTGTAGAGTTCAGTAAGGTGCGTCTGGCTTCCCCCAAAATCCAGACTAACAAGGAAGCAGCCGGATAACCACTTCAAAGCCAAGCATTGCTGGGCGGGCTTACTTTTGGAAAAGAAACGTTTCATCCAAAAAAATTGCAAAGCCACAAAGACAGGAGAGTTGGCGATGGGGGTGGGTCTCAGTGCTCTGCTTAGCCCATTGACTCTCATTCCAACTTGCTAAAGCTGAATAAATTGTGCAAAGTCCATTATGAACATGTGCAAATATTCTGCATTTTAATCTTGCATTAGAGGCAGGCTCTCTGCGACGCACAGCGGGTTTAAATTGACGCAGAATTGGGGAAAGCGTGACGCGTGCATGCCTCGGGCAGGAGGTTAATGCACGAGCTCCAAGACAAATGGATCGATACATCATAAACCACAATCATACTCGGATTTAATAGTTCTTAGAGCTTCTTCAATAGCTTGCTCATCTGTGGTCCAAAGACTGTGGCCCAAAGACATTATCAGAGCCCATTAATTAGCAGTGCAGCTTTGCCATACAGAAATGCAGCCATTCGTCGCCCGATAGAGAAACACAGCCACGTTAGGCTGTGCATGTATTGGATCAGTGCCTGAAAGCAGTGACAGGCTGGGTGGGGGCCAAAAAACTGAGGCTGAATCCTAATAAGACAGGGTGTGCTGTGGGTTCGCTGGGGAGGAACTGGATCTTGCCAGCAGGCTGGACTCTTAACTCCCTCACATCCTGCATGCCAATTTAAAAAAAAATAATAATAATTTTTATTTGATTTTACAAATGTAGAATTATAACAATCCAAACTGCAGAACCATATCTAGAGATTTCTCCGAATCTCTGGACTTCCCACCTTCCCCTCCACGGGTCCTATTGTACACCTTCTCAACTGCATATTATTTCATAATCCATATTTTATATCTCTCCATATTGTCCATAGTATTGCTACATTACAAGTGTTATTAGAATCCGGCTAATGTTTTCATCTGCTTACAGTGGTCTCCAAATAAGTTATAATTTTCCCCATTTCTTATTAAAGTTTTGATCTACTTGGTTCCTGAGCTTTCCGGTCACTTTTGCCATTTCAGCACAGTCCAACAGCTTCCTGCATGCCAAATTTGATAGGTAGGTTGGGCTGCAATAACAGCAGGTGACCTGCTTTTGTCCTCACCTGCGGTTCAAGCCAACCGTCAGGTTTTGCCTAGCTCTGTGCAAGTCTCTTTGGGTCTAAGTGACAACCTCTCCACAGTTACAGACATTACAGGGCAAGCTCCAGCCCAGGGGTAGGCAACCTACGGCCCGGGGGCCAGATGCGGCCCAATCGCCTTCTCAATCCAGCCCGCGGACAGTCCGGGAATCAGCATATTTTTACATGAGCAGAATGTGCCCTTTTATTTAAAATGCATCTCTGGGTTATTTGTGGGGCCTGCCTGGTGTTTTTACATGAGTAGAATGTGTGCTTTTATTTAAAATGCATCTGGGTTATTTGTGGGGCCTGCCTGGTGTTTTTACATGAGTAGAATGTGTGCTTTTATTTAAAATGCATCTCTGGGTTATTTGTGGGGCATAGGAATTCGTTCATTTTTTATTTATTTATTTTTCAAAATATAGTCCAGACCACCACGTGGTCTGAGGGATGGTGGACTGGCCCATGGCTGAAAAAGGTTGTTGACCCCTGCTCTAGCCGCTACATGCTGCTCCCACGCATATGAACCCGTCCTTGGCTGCAGGGGTGCCAGCTGGGCGAGCCGAGGGACCTTGCCGCCCCCCCCCCGCTCCGAAATTTTCAAGGTGACATGAGCACATCGCTCGGCTACTTGCCTGACACAGATAACCGCCCCAGCTGACATATAAATGAATATGACATACCTGATGCTGAGGAGTGGCCTTGTTTTATGCACTTGGACATCGCACATCGGGCAGTATTTGTTCGTCTCCAGGTAACGGACGATGCAGGTTTTGCAGACTGTAAAGGAAAGAAGTGGGTGGGAGGACAAAGTCACCACAGTGGAAGATTTACGACACAGTGGACAACAACCATGGCCGGCCCTACCATGAGGCAAAGCCTCATAAGACTGATAGAACAGAACTTAGGAAGCCACATGGAGTGCCAAAATTCCAGCACTTGATGGTCTCAGGTAATGCCTATGTCTTGCCACTGCCTGGACTTTTTGGGGGGGAAAGGCCCTGGTGGCAGAGGCGGCAGAGGGGGGGAGCATGGGATGCCACCCAGTCAATAGTGAGGAAAATGCCCTTTTCATATGCTTGAAGGGGGGTGATTATTGCTCTGCATCTTTCGACAGCTGAAAAGAGAGCCCAGGGATGAGGCACGTATCCCATTAATCCTCAGGAGTTTCCAGATATGGTTTTTAAACTTACAAGAGTGTAAGCATTCCACAATGGTTGTGGCATCGATGAAGTAGCCTCCGCACAAAGCGCACATCAAGTGAGGGTTCAGCTCTGTGATTTTTATCCTGGTGGTCCTGTGCATTTTGGATCCTGAGAAGCTCAGCAGATCCTCTCTGGAAGAAGAAAAAGGGGGGGAAAGACCCAGGGTAAGTAAGACAACCTCAGTCATGCTGAAAATTTGTGGCAATAGCCAAATATTTCAAGCCAGGGTATCAGAGCAGGCTGCAAGAAACTGTGTGCTTTGAAGTTCTCCTAGGGGCAGTGATGGGTATCATCTGTGCCTGCTCTGATACCCCTGTTCCTCAGCGAGGAACTGAGCAAGCTTTTTCTGTGGTCAGGGTTTCAATGACTCTCAAAATTAATGCACATATATATAATGAATTTTGTACCCTATACAGGTTATTCAGGTTGCATCATTTATTAAGCTGCCTCTGAAGAACAATAAAGAATTCTGCACATAAAAGACAGAGTCACTGAAACCCTGACCACAGAAGAAGCTTGCTCAGTTCCTCGCTCTCTGGTTTTTGGAGACCTCACCCGATATTGCTCATACACTTTCAGAGCAATACCACGCCCTGAAGTGAAAAGAGGAGGTTTTTTTCAATCTTGACTTGGGATGCTATTTTCTGTACACCTGTATGCATAGTGCTGTCACAGTCTGTACAAGGATCTCGGTATACTTGCCTATCAAATGCAGACTGCAAACCATCTGGGGAACGAACAAGCTCTTTCCATATTGTATCCTGAGTAGTGCAATCAGATACAATAGGGACGGGATATAGTAGTCCTTGCAGTCCCCGGAGCTGGGGGGCATGCAAACCACATTAAAACCCTACCTTTTCTTCCAAAAAAGGAAGCCCAAGGAATCTAAATAAATCCATAAAATAAAAAATGCACAGAGTATATAATATGACGGAATTTTGACTTTTTGGACACTATTCTCTAGCAGACTGCAAACATACACAAATTGCAAGTCCCACACGTGTTCAGGCTAAGTAATATCTCCTGCTAGGAAAGTAGCTTGCCAGATCCACTGGCATGGGTAAGGGGTAGTCTAGGTGACACCAAGTTAAATTAACTTTTGTAAGCATTTGCGAGACTAGGGGAGCCTCTCTCCCTGACTCCAATGCATCACTGAGGTACCAGATGAAGAGTATCTTAAAATACTTATTCTAAAGCTGATCTGGCACAATTTTGAAAACAAGGAGATGCTTTTTCTAGAGTGTTGATCACTAGCTAAACTGAATAGGGATGAAAAATCCACCCTTGATGGATTTTTGGTGCTCCGTTAACGTTAACCCAAGGGCACTAGCTCACTGCTGATATGCAACCAGGTCTTGTGCCACACCTTTTCAAAGACCACCTGTGCATCCGTAAGGGCAAAAAAGTGCACCCCACCCCCAGAAGTCCCTGCAACATTACCAGACACTGTGGATGCAACTTTGGATTGTGTGCCACGTTTCTTTCCCACATCCGCATATGGTAAAGTTAAAAGACCCCTGGAGGGTTAAGTCCAGTCTAAGGTGACTATGGGGTTGCGGCACTCATCTTGCTTTCAGGCCAAGGGAGCTGGCATTTGTCCACAGACAGCTTTCCGGGTCATGTGGCCAGCATGACTAAACCACTTCTGGTGCAACAGAACATTGTGACGGAAACCAGAGCGCAAGGAAACACCGTTTACCTTCCCACCTCAGTGGTGCCTGTTTATCTACTTGCACTGGCGTGCTTTCGAACTGCTAGGTTGACAGGAGCTGGAACAGAGCAATGGGAGCTCACCCCGTCGCGGGGATTCAAACCACCGACCTTCCAATCGGCAAGCCCAAGAGGCTCAATGGTTTAGACCAGGGGTCTGCAACCCGCGGCTCCGGAGCCGCATGTGGCTCTTTTACACCTTTGCCGTGGCTCCGGGGCGGATACTAGCGAGGGGAGGAGGCGCATTGTGCGCCCCGACACTCCCCACTGTGGCGGACGCTGTACTGGCTGTGACGTCGCATGGGGGCGGTGCGTGCGTTAGTCACACACCGTCCCGACCTCACCTTCCCGCCCGCTGTCAGATCAGAAGGCAGCGGCGCGCATGCTTTAAATGTCGCAATGGTTTTGCGGCTCCCAGTTTTTTTCCCCTTCGGAAACGGGTCCAAGTGGCTCTTTTTGTCCTAAAGGTTGCAGACCCCTGGTTTAGACCATAACGCCACACACATCCCATATTGAACAGAGGATGGCTTAACATTGGGCCATTTGGTAAATTTGGCTGTCGAGCACAGTAACAATCACATAGCCTTCCATTGTTCCCCGGATTCAGACCAATACATTCTCCTTTGGCGATCACTCATAGCCGTATAAGATTGTCTTCCATAAACACGGTTTATATCCCACCCCAGGTCTGCCATTTTGTTTGTTCTTCTGCCGTACTTCTCTTCATATTCTTCCTATCTTTTTAAAAAATGTATTTGAAAAGGAGAGTTGGTTTTCCCCCCCATACTGACTAAAACAAAACCCTATGGCAAGTCTGAAAGTAATTATACAGAACCCTAGAGCCAGTCCTCTCATTAGTCAGAGTAAGGCAACTGCCTCGGGCATCAAGTCCTGGGGGGCGGCAGCAGCACTGCGGCTGTTCTTCTCAGCCCCTACCCTAAGCTGTTCCCCTCTGCTGGAGGACAGGGCTGTTTGTGCCCCCCAGGCTATATTGCCCATCCTAAACAAGCCTCCTGCCCCCTCATCCGTGTGAGGAAATATTCAACTGGCTTCTCTACATGAAATGGGGAGGGGAGGGCATCATATTGTCCTTTGCCTCAGGCAGCCAACTGTTTTGGGCCATCCCTGGGCCCAGTCAACACGACATAACGGAATAATTGTACAGAAACAAATAAGGCTTGCAGATCCCCTGAACAGAGTCTGCTTCAGGGGGGCGGGGAGGAAAGGGCCCCATAAGGCTTATGTAGCCTTACCAGATTAACATTTAAGCCTCCGGGTAGGGTCTGCCTCCCCTTCTGCCATAACCTTTCTACAGCACCTTGCCATGGCAGGCACCTTAATAATAACTTCACGGGTGACACCCCCCACATTGGGGACCCCTTCATGCGCCATAATTAGGCGCTATTTCTGCAAAACAACAACAACAACACATCAAGGGGGAGCCACAGCTTCCGCTGCCTTTGCAGCTCCTTGGATCAAGGCCTCCGGTTTAAAATGGGGAAGGGGGAAACAACAGGGGTGTCGAAACATTTTCGAAAGCATCCTCCCTCTCGATATTAAAATGCAAAGAAGAAAATAAGTTGTTTTCTCCTTTGTGGCTGATGAAGAAATTTAGCGGCATGTCGGGTGTTTTCAAGGATGGGGAAAAGGGAAATAGGCCTTTTCTCTCTCCCCCCCCCCCATTCTCTGTTTCTTCTAGGAAATGCAGCCTTGTTTTATACAATGAAATGTAGGAAGGGTTTAAAGGAAGGGGGGAATCCTGTGATTATAGTTCTCCCTCTTTTCCTCTCTACTATATACGGCTGAATATATACAATAGGAGACATTAGAAGCCACAACCCCTCCTGGCTCACCGAGGCAGCTTTTCTGTTTCCATAGTAACGCCTATACTTGGCAAGAAACCAGATTATTATTGCAACTACCCAAGGTGGAGGTGGGAAAAAAAGAGGGGAAGGAAGGAGGTGGAAGATGGGGAAAGCAGGCAATGGGGAAAAAAAGAAAGAAATGCCATACCAGCGTGGCATTTGCAAATTGGTTTGAGACCCACATCGTTTCTGGGCCTGGACCACCACCCAAAACAAAGGATAAAATGCCCCCTCAGATCCATGTTATGGAAATCATCCAGATAACTAGTTGAATTTTGCATCAGCAATGGTGGCAGAACATAACTGCAGAAGTGAAGCCCTATTTCATTTCAAGGCTTTTGGGCTTCCAGATGTTTGCTGGTCTCTAACAACTGTCAGGCCCAGGCATAGTCCAGAAATATCTGGAGGGTCACAGATTCCTCAGAGCCCAGCTCTTTGCAAAAGGGGCGCACCATTCTCATATTGCTTTAAAAAAATCTTTACAGGTCTGCTGATGAAAAGCAAAAACAGCTCAGGACAGAAGTCAACCTTTTCTCCCTATACCTGAGAGGCATAAGAGAAAGGAAAGCTGAATAAGGGATAAGCAGCCCTAACAGATGGGGGAGCAATTATTTTGCTCGCTCTGTCGGTTTCAACAGCAAAAGGTCTGGATATGAAATTCGACGGAGGCGACCGTCTCAGGTTTCATCAAGGAAACCAGCTTGTTAAAAAAAAGCTTCCTCTCCACACCACTCCTGCTAGGCCAAGTTTTGGGATTCTTTAAACCGCCAACAAGCCAGCATTGCCACAAACATAGGCGCACATGCTAATTTAGGGGAGAGGGGTGAGGAAAGGATGTTTTGAGTCTCTCTCTCTCATACATGCATTTTGCTTTGATTCATTATGATACACATATCGCTTCCATTTTTATTTTTTTTATTTACTCATCGCTCCCAACCTCATTTGCCCCCCACAATTTTCTAGGGGCACACAGAGGACACCACTGGGAGAATCTCTTTATGTGCCTTTTACTTGCCATTCACTTGCTATTGTCATTCACTTAGCTATTAAATTGCCCCTTGCAGCTTCCAGAGGGTGGGGAAACTTAGTATTTGCCACATTTTCACTTTGTGTGGAGAACCTAAGAAAAGGTGCAAGAGAATTTGCGGTCCTTTCCCCCTCTCGGAGCCTAAATCTCGGAGGTATCGTCACTGGTTCCATGGTAGCCTCTTCCGCTTCTTAAAGAAGTTCCTCAAAGAGTGTTTTCCACCTGAATCTCTTGCCCATCCACCTTTTTTGTTTTTTTACCCCTTTACATTTTAAAAACAACAAACTTTTCTCACAGGACAGCTTTCCTTCCGAAACCTGGTCTAAATTTGTTTCCGTACACATAAATTAGTATATGTACATTTAATGTACATTTGTGCCATGGGCCCAAAGTCAGCCTGAGACATTTTGCTACCTGAGGTGAGGAACAAGATGGCACCCACACATTCCATGCATGGCATCTGCCATGGGTGTTGCCTGTTAGGGCTGGTCCTGCATGGGCCTGTGCTCAAAGTCCGCCACAAAATGGA